TAAAAACATACAAGGAAGTACAATCTCTTGTACAATAAGAAATATACCAACTATTCAATTAAATAATGGTTGGTATAAGTCATATCTTGAGTTAATCTGAAATACAATAAATGAAATGAATTAACTATATGGTAATTATGCATCCATAGACAAACTACTAAATTTCATGATCAAATTTTTATACATTGTAAGAGTTGTGATATATTTATTAGATGACACTCTTAGTGACATGTATGTTCATCCAATTTATTGATGCGATAAATAAATCATGATGATGAATGAAAAGTGTTTAGTCATAATAAATCAATTATATTGGTTAAAGTCCTATAAATAATTTAATACTAAGCCTATATGGGTCACATGCATAAGCTCAAGCTAAGAAAATTCTATCAACACATAAATGCTAGCTAAGAAAATTCTACTAGTTTGATGTGGGTAATTAATCTTAAAATAAATCAATAATGAAATTAGGTAATATTCAGGGGAAATATTCTATTGAGAGTGCTTATCTAAGTATGTAAACATATCTATATATTTGGGAATATATATCCCAAGTAGGGATAATATCTTCATTAAATGTTAAGTATGTAAACAAGGAAGATTTTATATTAGGACCAAACAGTATTAAATAGAAATTTTCAATCAAATGGATCAAAGAAATTGGATTTTGTTTAAGCAGGCTCAAGTTGAAGTGTTGTACAAATAAAATAATTGTAAGTCACCTTTTGAAAGTACTCAACATGAATTATATGAATTTCAAGTTTAATTGAATATCACATGCAATCGAATTAAAACTTTATTGTTATGAAGGTTAATCGATTGTCATAATTAAATTTAATTATTTAAAACTTTGAATTTTAAATGTGATCCAATTGATAGTTATAATTTGCAACTTAGATCCTTCTTTAATGCTTATAAATAAATTAAAATTATCCATTGTACTAATGATCAATTAATTTTATACAGAATTCATCATAGTTTTCAAATTTTAATATATCCTATAATACCTTTTTATATTTTTTATTACTTTAACATAAATAATCTAAGGATTTTTATCATTGCAATTTGATTCATTGTGTCTCCTAACAAGAGACAAATAAATAAAATTAAAAGTAGCTCTCTTACCTTCTCAATCCCAAATTAATATCGAGAATACATATACATATATATAACATAAAAAATGTAAAATTTTCAAGAAGGTTCAATTTTCATACATATCCATCTAGCTATGTATCTATAAATGTTAAAACAATGATGATTTTGCAAATTATATAAAAGTACAGCTAAAATTTAACTTTAATTGTCCAGATTTTTCCTACCATATATTTCAATAAAGAGAAGATTCTCAAGTAACTCTAAAGATGTAACTTATTAATACAGAAAAATATGTACAGGATGTCTACCTAAAATTTATTAACAACCTTGATTTAAATCTCCTATAAATATCACTCATTTCCCCCTCTTTCAATAGAATTATTTCTCTCCATTAGTCTCTCTTTTAATTTCTCTCTGCACATATTCAATACTTGTAACCATGGCGAGAAAGAGTAAGGGACGACAAAAGGTTGAGATAGTAAAGATGAATAATGAAACCAATCTCCAAGTCACTTTCTCCAAACGCCGAGCCGGACTTTTCAAGAAGGCGAGTGAACTGAGCACTCTATGTGGGGCTGAGATTGCTATTATCATCTTCTCACCCAGTCGAAAGGTCTTTTCTTTTGGTCATCCTTGTGTCGAGACTGTGTTGGAACGTTTTGTTAGTGGTAATCCACCACAAGCTACTTCTGGAACCATGAAACTCATTGAGGCTCATTGGAACGCTAGTGTCTGTAAGCTCAACACTCAGGTTATTTTAATTTCTTTCCTTTCTAATAAAACGTTTTCAATATAAATAATATATATTAATTCTACTACATGTACTGGTTCTGAACCAACTCGAAATCGAGATGAAGCGAGGCGAGGAGCTTAATCATATGAAAAAGACAAATGAGAATCAATGTTGGTGGATGGCTCCCAAGGAAGATATGAGCTTAACACACTTCAACAATTGAAGGCCTCTCTCGATGAGCTGAAGAAGAATGTGGCTAAGAGTGCTGAGAAGATTCACCCGAGCACCATCAGAAGTCGATCCACAGAAGCTAAAAGATCTTTCAATCCAAAACCAATAATCTCTCCTGTTTTCAGTCTGAACATATTTCTAAACTAGAGTTTCCAATAGATATTTATATGGGAGAATTTGACTCTACTTCCCAGTTCATGTGACCCATTCAATTTTGATTAACGATGATCTTATTTTTGTATACTTCACTTACTACTTTTTAAAAAACTTATAACAAAGAATGACATTTTTCTGCTTAGTCAAAGCATATAAGCGTAAGATTCAGTTTTAAAATTTTATTTAAAAATATTTACTATTAAGATATTTTTAGACTAATTTTGTACACTAAAACTAAATTGTTTTCAACTTTGAGAGCAAAATTAATCTTGAGAGCAACAAAGGATGCTGATAAAGAAAAACATGCTAATAGATTTAAAATTAAATAAAAGAAAAAAAAGTGAAAGAGAAATAGGAAGGGGTTGCTGAATGATGCATTAACATGGCAATACTATTATGATATATTGTTTACATTTTGAAGCCTTATGAAACACAAACAGATATGCATGGAGAACAGATTGCGTTCAAGGACAAAAACAGAACAAGAAGACTGGAATATAAAAAATATATAGACACATTGTTTATATCAATGAGATTATGTCAAATTCAATAATGATGATAAAATTTAACTTCTCTCTTGCGTTATACCGAGTGCATGACATATTCATTATCAGATAAGATCATCTTTCTGACCATGATAAAATTGAACCTCCTGAGTTACTTGAGAACAACTAAATGATATGTTAATAGGGGAAATGCATAGAAGGAAAAAACTCTTGAACTATTTCACTTTAGTTAATTTGTGCATGATGTAAGAGCATTAGGTTATATATAATCTTCATAAACTTTCCATTTTATGTTCCAAGATCATGGCTATTATGATCATTTCCATGCCAATAATAAATTTCTTCTTTGAGATTGAACCAAACTTGATGCATTAATTTATTCATAAATACATCTAATAATAGAAACCGAACAAAAAAACTGAAATAAAAAAAAAAATAAATAGATCATATCGATGAGTCTATCAAATTTATTCAGGGTAAAAAGATTTTTAACTTTCCCTTAGCGTTATACAAAATGAACGACATTAGCATGAGTTCATTGTGTAATGCTAGGGGGAAGTTAAAAATGTTTTTACCCTGAATAAATTTAATAGTCTCATCGATATGATCTATCTATGATCTATCTTGTTTCTGAGGACCTGCAAAACTTGGGCAAGATGGTGAGCATGTTCTTCTTTGCTTTTTGAGTAGACTAAGATGTCATCGATGAACACGATAACAAATTGATCTAAGAACTCTCTGAAGACCCTGTTCATCAGATCCATAAAGATTGTCGGGGCGTTGGTTAGCCCAAATGGCATGACCAGGAACTCATAGTGTCCGTACCTGATTCGAAAGGCTGTCTTGAGGATGTCTTCTGTTCTTATCTTCACCTGATGGTAACCTGATCGCAGGTCTATTTTAGAGAAGACCTGTGCACCCTGCAGCTGATCGAAGAGGTCATCAGTTCTGGGAAGGGGATATTTGTTCTTAATTGTAACCTTGTTCAATCCTCTGTAATCAATACACAGTCTCAATGTTCTATCTCCCTTCCTGGCAAAAGTGACTTCAGCACCCCAAGGGGACACACTGTGTCTAATAAAATCACTGTCTTGCAATTCAGTGATCTGTTTCCTCAGCTCTTCCATCTTAATGCGGCTCATGTGGTAAGGAGAAACTGAAATGGGCTGGGTGCCTGGCTGTAGGTCTATAGTGAACTCAACTTCCCTGTCCACTGGCAGTCCGCGTAGTTCATTCGGAAACACATCTGGAAAGTCTCGGACTACCGGAATCTCTTGGATACAAATTTCCTTCTTGGACTTGCCTAGTTAGAGAAAACAACAAGATTAAGGTACTAGAAAATTAAGGAAACTTGCCATCAAGGAATAAGTACTAAATGATTTTATTAATTTGTAAATGGCTCCTTATTGGGAGGATTAAATACAACCTTCTTCTTAAAGCAATCTATGGTGGCGTGATGCGCCCCTAGTCAATTCATTCCTAAGATTACATCAAAATCCCCCGTGTCTAACCCTATCAGGTCTACACTCAGTTTTCTATTTGCTATCTCCACGGCACAAACCCTGTAGACAACTTCCCCTAATAGTGTTTCACCCCCAACAGTAGACACATACAACATTGAATCAAGTTTATCAGGTGATACATT